TGGACTCATCACTGAGCCTGGAACCCAGGTCTCAGCGGTGGCCGGGAGAGCTTTATTAAAACTTGTGTGCCAGCTGCGCCCGTACCTTGGGAAGTCGGATCTGGCCACGGTGGTCCACGCTCTTGTCACATCCCGGTTGGATTACTGCAACGCACTCTACGTGGGGTTGCCTTTGAAGACTGCTCGGAAACTTCAACTAGTCCAGCGAGAAGCAGCCAGATTGCTCACCAGAGCGACGTACAGGGAGCACACCACCCCCCTGTTGCTCAGCTCCACTGGCTGCCGATCAAATTCCGAGCACAATTCAAAGTGCTGGTTTTGACCTACAAAACCCTATACGGTTTCGGCCCAGTGTATTTGTCCGAACGGATCTCCCTCTACGTCCCACCTCGGAACCTAAGATCTTCTGGGGAGGCCCTGCTCTCGACCCCGCCAGTGGCACAAGTGAGGCTGGCGGGGACGAGGAGCAGGGCCTTCTCAGTGGTGGCCCCCCACCTGTGGAACTCACTCCCCGGGGAGATCAGATCGACGACTTCCCTTCTAGCGTTTAGGAAAAAACTAAAGACCTGGATGTGGGACCAAGCTTTTGGCCATGCTGACAACTAACTAAAGGACCTGTTGATAGACAAGGACAATGGAATGGAATGGATATATGGACTCTGATATATGGACTCTGACATGAGATAGTTTTTATGATTTTATTAGGTATTGATGTTTTATTTTAATTGTTGAATTGTTATATTTTGTATTGTTTGTTGTGTGTTTTGGGCATCTAATTGTGCCTTTCCTGTAAGCCGCCCTGAGTCCCCCTCGGGGTGAGAAGGGCGGGGTATAAGTAGATGAAATAAATAAATAAATAAAATATACTTGTCCCTCCCGCTTTTTTGAAATCTAGGGATGCACCCGCACATATGGAGAGTCAACTGTATATGAAGCATAATGCATTTCATTTGGGTAGGTTCGTTTGTTTGTTTCTAAAATCGTAATTAATTCGGATTAAATTACCTTTTGATCCAATTTCGAGCCATGCAGGAATAGTGGGAGGAGCAATTCCAAATTGAAACAACTTCCCCATTGTTCGGAATTATTTTCAGATGTGGCTTTGCACGCCTGGCGATGCAAAGAGGGATGAAGTGGGCTTGGCTAAGAACCAGGGGCGGCTCATCCATTACGCGAAGTAAGCGGTCACAGAACCCTTTTTTTGCCAGGGGTGCAGAGGCGCCTCTGTAAATGCCCCTCAGCCGCCACTTGAGGACGAGCGCCCCCTCAGTTCACAACAGCCCTCGCAGTCCGGGGGGAGCCTCGGCTTTCTTGCCTCGCTGCCGGGCGATCCTCTTCCCAAAGGGGCCGGGCCCTTGAGCCTCGCCTAGCCCCTCTCGTTCCTGCTCCACCCGGCCACCGGGTGCACGAGCAGAGCCGGCGCTCAATCGTTCTCCGCGTTCGATCCCTTCCCCATGACCGGCTCCCTTTCCCGATCTCCAAGGGGCGGAGCCGCTGCGCCTGGCCCGCTTCGGGTCCGGAGGCGTGTCTGAAGACCCCAGCGTGCGCACCAAAAGTTGCCTCTTCTCCTGACTTTCTCTTCAGCCATTGGGACCAAGAGAGAGAGAAGAGAGAGAGAGCCCCTCTGGCTGGAGGTATCTCCCACCTCCGCTCCCTCCTTTGTTTTTGCGCCTACCTTCAGGAAAGGTGGGCATCTCCACCTACCAAAAAGTCGCCTCTTCTCCTGACTTTCTCTTCAGCCATTGGGACCAAGAGAGAGAGAGAGAGAGAGAGAGAGAGAGAGAGAGAGAGAGAGAGAGCCCCTCTGGCTGGAGGTATCTCCCACCTCCGCTCCCTCCTTTGTTTTTGCGCCTACCTTCAGGAAAGGTGGGCATCTCCACCTACCAAAAAGTCGCCTCTTCTCCTGACTTTCTCTTCAGCCATTGGGACCAAGAGAAAGAGAGAGAGATTGGGACCAGGAGAGAGAGAGAGAGAGAGCCCCTCCGGCTGGAGGTATCTCCCACCTCCGCTCCCTCCTTTGTTTTTGCGCCTACCTTCAGGAAAGGTGGGCATCTCCACCTACCAAAAAGTCGCCTCTTCTCCTGACTTTCTCTTCAGCCATTGGGACCAGAGAGAGAGAGAGAGAGAGAGAGAGAGAGAGCCCCTCCGGCTGGAGGTATCTCCCACCTCCGCTCCCTCCTTGTTTTTGCACCTACCTTCAGGAAAGGTGGGCATCTCCACCTACCAAAAAGTCGCCTCTTCTCCTGACTTTCTCTTCAGCCATTGGGACCGAGAGAGAGAGAGAGAGAGAGAGAGAGAGCCCCTCCGGCTGGAGGTATCTCCCACCTCCGCTCCCTCCTTTGTTTTTGCGCCTACCTTCAGGAAAGGTGGGCATCTCCACCTCTCTCTCTCTCTCTCTTTCGGTCCCAATGGCTGAGGAGAAAGTCAGGAGAAGAGGTGACTTTTGGTGCACACGCCGTGGTCTTCAGGCACGCCTCCGGACCCAAAGCGGGCCAGGCAAGGGAGCAAGTGCGGCAAGTGTAGTTACTGGGATGTATAGTTCACCTACAATCAAAGAGCATTCTGAACTCCACCAATGATGGAATTGAACCAAATATGGCACACAGAACTCCCACGACAAACAGAAAATATATATCAGTGATTGGTTGAGGGGGGGGGGGCAAAATACTGTTTGCTTATCGTTGAAAATTACCTAGGGCCGCCTCTGCTAAGAACAGCTCTTCCTGAAGGCCACTCCCCCAGTGGCCTTCAGGAAGAGCTGTTCTTAGCCACGCCCACCTCGTCCCTCTTTGCATCGCCGGGCGTGCAAAGCCAATCCACAACCCCAGTCCAAATGGCCTATGTTTGAAGACACAAAGTCTTCCTCTGGTGCCAAAAGAACTGGTTTGAAGGCGCTTGAGACTTCCCAACATCGTTCAGGTTGATCTGAACATGAAGCATAAGTCTCAAGGGTAAGAACCTCAGAATTGGTGCTGAGAGGTAACTTAATCAGGGGCTTTTAGAGCCAAGTCTCTTACTCACATCCATCTGGTAGAAAATATGATGGTAGAATGAAAAAGGGAAGCACTCCCCTCCTCCAGGAAGAGGTGGAGCCAAACAATTGAGCTTGAGAAAGCAATTCAACTGGTGCAAACAACACTGATAGACAGCTATAAATAACCAATCAATCTAACTATACATAGGCAGGGACGAGGGACGAGGTGGGTGTGGGTAAGTAGTCACGCCCACCTCGTCCCTCTGCAATCCATCACCGTTCGTTGCCACCCAAGGAAAGGAAACTGCGAAGTTAGTTTTCTCCTTCTCCTTTTCCTTTTCTTTATCCTTCTCTTCCTACTTCTCCATCACCATCACTGTCTTTTCCTGTTCCTTCCTCTTTTCCATCTCCATCTCTTTCTCCTTTTCCATCTGCTTCTCCAGCTCCTTCTCCAGCTCCTTCTCCTCCTTCTCCTTTTTCCTTCTCTTTCTACTTCTCCATCTCCATCACCATCTCCATCTTCTCCTGTTCCTTCCTCTTCTCCACCTCTTTCTCCTTATCCTTCAACCTTCCATATAAATTAACTTCTTGTAGAAGTCAATGTCCTGTACAAGTCCATCTCCTGTATAGGTTGATCTCTCATATAAGCCTACCTCCTGTATAAGTTAACTTCTTGTACAAGTTGACCTCCCGTACATCAAGTTCTTTTGGCTTTACCAAAATTGCTTTGTGCCATCGCGCCTGGGGGTTATAACTCTTAGTGAAAGAGGCATGGACGTGATATCTTTCCCCAGGGGATTGCCTCTTGCCCTCCTTTAGGGAAACTGGAACTCTCAAAGACCCAAACACTATAGATAACTCAAAATAGGTTTTATTGTTCACAAAGAGTTATCTCTTTAAGGCAATAAGCTGGAAGTTTCAATGGGGTGAAGGAAAACATACATTACAGTCTCCAAGGAGTTTTGCAGCTGAGAAGCTTTTCCACGTCCTGCTTTCTCAATGGCTGTGAATGCCGGAGCAATCCACAACCCCAGTCCAAATGGCCTATATTTGAAGACACAAAGTCTTCCTCTGGTGCCAAAAGAACTGGTTTGAAGGCGCTTGAGACTTCCCAACATCGTTCAGGTTGATCTGAACATGAAGCATAAGCCTCAAGGGTAAGAACCTCAGAATTGGTGCTGAGAGGTAACTTAATCAGGGGCTTTTAGAGCCAAGTCTCTTACTCACATCCATCTGGTAGAAAATATGATGGTAGAATGAAAAAGGGAAGCACTTCCCTCCTCCAGGAAGAGGTGGAGCCAAACAATTGAGAAAGCAATTCAACTGGTGCAAACAACACTGATAGACAGCTATAAATAACCAATCAATCTAACTATACATAGGCAGGGTAAAAAGGCAGGATTAAGCATGATACAACAGTTTAAATCTGGCAACTAACAGTTATACATATAGGTGGCGCCACTCGCACCATCACATGCTTAATGCTTAATCTGAAAATTAAACTGATCTTGGGAGGCATCCGAATGTTACAAAATCCTAACAAAAATGATTGGGGAGTGATTTGATTTTTAAATCCTCCACACACCTTTCCTGCATGTTTCTAATATCGATGGGTATGCACGAATCTCACGAATCAAAAATGAAGTTTTGCACACCCCTAGTATTTATGGGCATGTAAATTGTCCTATTATCACGGAAAGTGGAATTGTGATGTTGTGCAATGTTTATATTCTCAGGAGGGAGTAGATAAACCACGGCTGCAAGAGAACCCGGATGCACAATGCACAATTTGCGTGTACAATGCGTACGATGCACAATTTTGTGCATACGGTGCACAATTTGTGCGTACAATGTGTACAATGTCGCAAAGACAGCTTTGATACATGTTATGTGTTGAGACATGTTGCCTAATGGGAGACGACCTGCCGTAATCCACATTGTTGCCATTCTCTAACACAGTTGTGTGTCGTGTCGGTAACGCAGCTCATTCGTCACAAAGCCGACACAGGACGTCACATTTCCTCTGTTAGAGACTTCTTACAAAGTTGACAATCGCTTCCATCCCTTTCCTCCCAGACGGGAAACGCAACCAGGCTCCATCAAAGAAGTTTAAGATGCCGTGGAATCCATGAGAGATGTGGTACCACGTCACCGTTACGTTGTTGTCTTCCAGCCTCTTCTTGTAGAGTAACCCGTCGTCCCGCAAGACGTCGTATTCGCAGGTCAAGAGGAACGTCTCGGGGAGACGTCGAACGACCCCGTCTTCGACCACAAGCGGAGAGCATTCCGGAGAGCGCAGATTCGACAAGCGCTCGGAGACAACATCGTCGCCGGCGACGTGAACAAATGGCGTGTATCCTCGGGTCTTAAACTCTTTGGGGATGTTGTCGGCGCTCAGCCACTTCCGGTACCGCAACCGGACATTGGTAGGAACATGAGAGCCTTCCAAGACTTCCTCGAGGTGCTCGACGTTCCCGTTCAGGTACTGCAAGAAGTAGACGGCGGACCGTTCCCGGAACAAAGGCGGCACGGCTCGGTTTTGTTGGTAGGAAGGCAAATCGAAGTCCAAAGCCTGGAGACTCGGGTAGAGGAGGATTTGCGCTCGCAGCTTGGGGAGCCCCGGTTTGGTCGCGAGGGTCTGGCAAACGACCGCGGCGAGAAGGCCGCCTGCGCTGTCTCCGGCAAGGATGACGCGGTTGGGATCCACTCCAAATTCATTGGCGGCTTTGAGGAAGTGAGTGGCAGCTGCAAGGCAGTCGTTCAATGCGGCCGGATAGACGTGTTCAGGAGCCAAGCGATACCTAGGCCGAAGGGAGAAACAAATAAGCGAAACGGTTCACCAGCCACTTATAATGCCTCTCATGCCAAAATCCTGTGAGGGATACGAATAGGGGTGTGTACGACTCATGCAGGGGGAAATGGAAGGAAAAAGGAAGAGCAAGATGGATGGATGGGATCCTTGAAGTGACTGGATTGACCTTGAAGGAGTTGGGGGTGGAGATGGCTGACAGGGAGCTCTGGAGTGGACTGGTCCATGAGGTCACCTAGAGAAGACAAGGATACTGGGGAAAATGGAAGGAAAAAGGAAGAGGGGCCGACCAAGGGCAAGATGGATGGATGGCATCCTTGAAGGAGCTGGGGGTGGTGACGGCCGACAGGGAGCTCTGGCGTGGACTGGTCCATGAGGTCACCTAGAGAAGACCATGATACTGGGGAAAATGGAAGGAAAAAAGAAAGAGGGGCCGACCAAGGGCAAGATGGATGGATGGCATCCTTGAAGTGACTGGATTGACCTTGAAGGAGCTGGGTGTGGTGACGGCCGACAGGGAGCTCTGGCGTGGGCTGGTCCATGAGGTCACCTAGAGAAGACAATGATACTGGGGAAAATGGAAGGAAAAAGGAAGAGGGGCCGACCAAGGGCAAGATGGATGGATGGCATCCTTGAAGGAGCTGGGGGTGGTGATGGCCGACAGGGAGCTCTGGCGTGGACTGGTCCATGAGGTCACCTAGAGAAGACCATGATACTGGGGAAAATGGAAGGAAAAAAGAAAGAGGGGCCGACCAAGGGCAAGATGGATGGATGGGATCCTTG